AGGCCCAGCTCCCTTGCAGAGCTAGGGCAGGTTGCTCAGGAAAGGGGGCAGCTGGGCTTTGGATTTCTCCAGGGATGGAGACTCTACAACCTCTCTGGGAACGCTACCCGCTCCTGTGTTCAAAATCCCACACAGTAAAATAATGTTTTCTTATGTTTAAATAGACTTTCCTGGCCTTCAGTTTGCGTTCATTGTCTCTTTTCCTGTCACTGGACACTTCTAAGGAGAGTCTGGCTCCGTCTTCTTTATTTCCACTATCATATATATTTATACACATCAATAAGGTCACCCCTGAGCCTTCTGTTCTCCAGACTGAACAGTTCCCACTCTCTCAGCCTGTCCTCATATAAGAGATGCTCCAAACCTTTCGACATCTTTGTGGCTCTGCTCTGGACTCACTCCAGGGTCTCCATGCCTCTCTTTTACTGGAAAGCCCAGGACTGGGCACAGCGCTCCAGATGTGGTCATCTGTTATTCCTCTCCTTTGGGTGTTTTAGTGCAATGTCTCATGATCCTGCTCAACCATCAACAGCCCTCACTTGTCAGATGCAACAAACAAATAAAAGCATAAAATTGCTAATGCTTCCCTGTCCATCACTGAACGGTCACACTCAAAGGGTTGTGGTCAATGGCTCACTGTCCAAGTGGAGACCAGCGACAAGTGGCACTCATCAGGGGTTGGTATTGGGACCGGTGTCATTTAACATTTTTGTCAGTGGCATGCACAGTGGGATTGAGTGCACTCTCATCTGCTTTGCCAACACCACCAAGCTGTGTGATGTGGTCGACACACTGGAGGCAAAAGATGCCATCCAGAGGGACCTGAACAGGCTTGAGAGGTGGGCCTTTCAACCAGGGGGGTTAGAACTAGATGATCTTCTATGATTCTGTGATTCTATGATCCTTGCCCCAAACAGTTCTGTTTGCAAGAGTCAGAGGGGCACCAGGGATGCTAAATCCTCTAGACAGGCTACAGCACAAAGCAACCCCGTCACACCTCGGTTTATAGGAATGATTTCAGAGAGCATGACTGGAAGTCCAGAAGGAGATGCTATTGGTCAAGTGGACAACAACTCTAAGTAAAGCAAGATAACCTTATGTTGACACTTGTAGGACGTCAAGGGAAACAGGGTGTCTAGAAGTCAGCTGGAGGAAGCCTCTATAATCAAAACACAGCAGACACCACCTTCTCTGAAAAAGAAGAATGTAAAAAGAAAAGAAATAAAAGAAGGGGAAGGAGCAGCCAACATAAGACCCATAGATGAACAGCTCAGAGAGCCAGAATTTCAAGAGGAAAAACAAGAAAATAAAAAACCAAACATGGGATAAAGAGCCACAAATATTGATTGCTAGTTTAAGCTTGCAGGGAAAAGTGTACAGGCAGTGAAACAAAAGCAAGGATTAGTATAAGGTGACAGAATTAAAAACAAAGGTAGCTTGAAACCTGAGCTGAGGAAAGGGTTCTTTATTGTCCTGGGACCACAACATACAGTGTCAAGCTTTTTAAACGTGTCTTTCATACAAGCACGCAGGCAGTCCACACAACAACCACTGGTAGAAGTAACAGAAATGCTCTCCTCCCTGTATAATTTGCTCTCCCCTTCAGCAAACAGAAAAAAAAAAAAAAAACTGTGAGAAGGAAAAAAAGATAGATATAGCCCTCAAAGTACCAGTAAAAGTCAGAGGGACAAACCACTGCCTTAAATGCGTCTGTCTTGAATCTTCACTGATTTCATCTGTCCACATGATTTTCAGCACAGAGTAGCAGCTAACGATATTGATACACACAAAGGGAATTATTGCCAAGCTGGGATATGTGCCATTATCACAGATATCACAAAATGTGTTGTTCATAAAGCCCCTGCTCCCAGAGCTATGTGACACAGGGAAATTCTTGTTTTGTGTTGATATTTCAAAAGTAAGCTGGTGACTTTCCCATTTTTGGAGAAAAGATTGGAGATGTCAACCCAAGGTTAAAGGAGCAGAAAGCAAATAAAAAAACAATCTCTTAAAACATATTTTTAAACATTTTAAAGAATATAATTTTCAAGATTTTTGAAATCTTGATTCATCATGCTTGATCTCAGTTTCACTACTTTTCAAATCCGATGGACGCAAAAGCTAACAAGTGACATACTGCTTTTCTACGATAAAAAGCTGTCTTGCTAATCACCATCTCATCCATATAAAGTTGATCAATGAAAAAAACCAGAGAAAGAAATTATGTTGAAAGTTCCAAAACTTCAAGAACTGGTAGTTTAAAAGTGAGGTCTTGGTTCAGCCTCTGTGTGAAAAACACTTGTCAGTAGCGCTGAAATAGGGTATTTCTAGAACTTTTTGTTTCCTTGTATTAGCAGTTCTTCAGAGAAGGAACACTAGTTTTGCTCTGCTTTCGAAAAGCTGGTTTCACCAGCACAGTGGTTCATATCTGTGTCTCCTTGGTTCTAGCATCAGAAAGAGGATTTAAAGATCAAATAAGATCAAAAAATCGAAGTGCTTTTTCTGGTTATTTGCCTTCTAAGATTAGGGGATAAAGGGAACAAGGAACTAGAGGAACGATATTTGGGTGATGGTACAACTTTCAATATTTTTATGAAAACTTATGTCAAAACTCACTCAAATTTGTTTGGATAAAAGACAAACTTACAGAGACTGAATAGCAGAGCCACAAGTGAAAGATAGTAGTGTAAATTTTCAAAATCATACAGAGATCCGGGGAAAAGGAACTGTGTCAGGCTTGGTTTTACTTAAAGCCTCCCTTGTAGAGTTTTGTAGAGGCAATAAATGTTACATTTGTGAAAGCTGCAAATTACTCTAAATGTAGAGGACCGGCAAACACCAGATAAAGCAGAATAAAGTCAAGTTGCTTCAAGAGATTAGAAAGACAAATTGATAAAAATAAAATAAAAAAAAAAAAAGGAAACAATTTTCCCAAGAGACCCATTTAGTACAAAGCTCCTTATACGCTGTAGTTCTGCAGGGCAGCACTCCCAGGTTCACAGGCTTTCCTGGGCTGCAAGTGTGCCACCACAAAGCAAAGACCTGAGAAGCAACCTCAGTTAATCTAGTCATGGGTGGACTAATATCAGAGTTATCTGTGGAAAGAAGATGTTTGATTTCTGTGGGTTTTGAATCCCACTGTCAACAGTTATTTTTCTAGGTGTATAAGGAGATGGGAAGATGAAGCCAGACATTTCTCAAATGATTCTGACAGGCACAGAAGAGTTTGTTGATTCTTGTGTTAGTACATAACTATTTGCTTTCCTCTGGAGCCAATATATTGCTTAGGCGCAGGCATGAATAAATGCCACGTGATCATGCAGTCCAGCCAGAAGTCACTGAATACAGATAAAGCAAAGGGAAAATAAAACAAAAGTAAAAAAAAATCACATTTTCCAGGGAGCTGTGGGGCTGGGGGCTGCTGGGGACAGAAGCACTGGGGCTCTTCTTGGAGTGGCAAGGCAGGACCTGGCAGCCAGGATCGTCCCACTGCCCCACCACGGAGCAGGGCAGCAGGGGGGCAGCCAGGGCAGCCCCAGTCCTGGGCATCAGGCACCTCCCTGGGGACAGGGATGGGAGAGGTTGGGCTGGGAAATCGCCCTGTGGGTAAAGGTCAGGATCCAGAGGAGAGCCACCAAACTGGTGAGGGGTCTGGAGAACAAGTCCTGTGACGAGAGGCTGAGGGAACTGGGCATGTTTAGTTTGGAGAAGAGGAGGCTGAGGGGAGACCTCATTGCCCTCTGCAACTCCCTGAAAGGAGACTGTAGAGAGGTGGGTGTTGGCCTCTTCTCCCAAAGGAATAATGACAGCACCAGAGGTAATGGTATGAAGCTGCGGCAGGGGAGGTTTAGATTAGATTTTAGGGAGAATTTCTTTGCTGAGAGGGTGGTCAGGCACTGGAACAGCCTGCCCAGGGAGGTTCTGGTGTCACCATCCCTGGAGGTATTTAAGAAATGTGTAGACATGGCTCTTTAAGGCATGCTCTAGTGCCCAAGATTATTCGTTTGTGGTGGGGTGTAGTGTGTGGGGTTGTGGGTATGGGGTTTAGTTGGTGGGTGGTGGTTTTGGGTTTGTTGTTTTTGTGGTGTTTTTTTTGTTTTGTGTGTTTGTTTTTCTTTTTTGGGTTTTTTTTGTGTGTGTGTGGTGTTTTTTTTTATGTGGTTGGACTCGATGATCTCGGAGGTCCCTTCCAACCACTAAGATTCTGTGATTCTGTGATTCTGTGATTCTGTGATTCTGTGATCAGGTCTCGGGGGGGAACTTAGGGTCAGACACAGCCCCAGGACTGGGGTGTGAAGATAATTAATTTGAGAAAATGATATCAGAAGCAAAAGAGCTTGCACAGTTTTTGTCTTTCTCCTGCATTTATTTATAAGCTAATTCCTGTAATACTCCTGCTAAAAATACAACTTTGTTTTGATTGTTAATGCTTAAGGAGCATCACTACAAATAGAGCCTGCAAAGTCACTCCGTGCGTCCTGCAGAGGTACCATAAAGCCCCTCAGGCACAGCATTGCAGGGGCTGGATGGGCTCCCAGTCAACGTACGCACAAGTTTTCCAGCTACAGGCTGTGAATTGCCTAAAGCCCATGTTCCACTGCCCTCACCAGCAGCCTAACCCAAACCCACCTTCTGCTGGCTATCCGGGGGTGAAAGCTCCCCATCCCCACATCGGGGCTGGCCACTGCAGTTATAACACCTCTGTTTGCAGCTCAGCATCTGCAGGTCCTGGCCACCTCCTTGCTCTTCCCACCATTTGTTTTCTCTTCCCCTTGTTACTTCAGGAACTTTACCCATAATTTAGCAACTGGGTATATTACAGAAACGATAAGTGCAAGGAATGGACTAACTCCTCCTCCATTAAGAGCTGTCATCGGGCAAGACAGATGAATGTACATGTTCCACAAAGTACATGTTTATTAATAGAGCTTTGCAGATGTTAGGACACAGTGTCATGGGCTTTTGTCCCTGTGGAAATGTCAGTTTAAGGAGATCCTGTCCGAGATGTTGGGTCTTATTTATTGTGGCATTAAATTACATTGTTACTAAAGAAATACATCCTGCTTTGCCTATGTCCTCCCATCAAAAATACATATATAAACTTCATTCCTGCCCTTACTTAGAATTTTACACTTAAAAATGGAAAAATTAAAATGCCCACCAACTCCCCTGTAATGCCTTGTCTATTCTTCCCTCTCATCCTGCTACTACAGTTATACAGAGACTCATATTAAGCAGCTAGGAAAAAATGGAATATGGCATGGAATCTACGATGCCACTGATTCCGTGCCCAAAAGGCACAGATTCAGAAGAGAACTCTATTTCTGAAAAAGTCTTTAGTTCAGACACACTCACTGAATGAGTCCATTCAGCCTTCATGTACACGGGCAGTGGTTTTTCATGGAATGAAAAAATTTAGTTGAGAAAAATGTTGACTGATTTCATCCATACTTGCCGTGATTTCTCTCTGATTTTCTTCCAAGAATTTCTGTGTGGATACTTCATCCATCCAGCCTGCCATATTGTTTTCCAGGCATTCCTTTCCCAAGGATGGCTTTTATTACCTCCATCTGCTGGGAAAAAAAAAAAAAAAAGGAAAAAAAAAAAAAAAAAAAAAAAAAAAAAAAAAGGGGGAGAGAAAAAAAAAAATCCCTCACCCTAATGAAAGCTGGGATTGTGGCGAGCCTGTCTGAACTCTTGCTCTGCTAAAAAAAAAAAAAAAGGAAAAAAAAAAAAGAGCTTCTTATTTATACATGTACATACACTTCTGTGCGCTGCACATATATGCACACACAAGAAATAATATTAGCAGGGTGAGTTTACTGACTTTTATTCACATGGAAACAGCCTATTATACATGGTAAAATCTTCACAAGCCAAGAGCTTTGCCGCATCTCTGAGTCAGAAAATATTGCAGCCCCACAATAATAGCAGGCCTAAAATTTGACAAAAGAAATCACCCCTCAATTAAATTTTGCAGTATGACTAGCATACAAATTTAGGCAGTCTAATAAACTGCTTAAAGAGCTGTTCCTCATTCTTTGCAGATGGCCACTGCAAATCGTATCCAGATACGACAGCAGTGCATTCATTAGCAGTGTTAGCAAAATAAATATTTTCAATTACAAAAATACATCAAATGAAAAGGAAATATTGAGTCAGAGCATCATCTGGTGTAAACAGGCATAACACTGTTCGGGCAATTCTTTTAATTTTATTTAATAATCGATAAATGCATGTTATATATACAGGATGGAGAATGACAGGCTAGTCATTTGGAAATATTTGGTCTCACATGGAATTAGAGGGCATGCTACAGTGGGGTGACATAATACAAAACCTCCAACGTGGAGCATGCAGTTCTTCAAAAAGAAGGGTGCCGAGCTGCTGTAAACACTCTCCCTCGTGTTTCCATTCTATACTAGTAGCAATGTAGACCCTTTAATGATGAAGAGATTTTTAATGTTATTCATTACTTACGAACTACATAATCAGCCTTCCTCTTAGCTTGGAACTTCGCACTGTCTGGGTACTGAAATATGTTTTGAACACTTTCGAGTCAAATATCTACTGCAGAAAAACTTTATACTCGATTTTGAGAAAAGCTCTATTGCCCTAAAAACTTACAAATGTATATTTTTCCAGAGGTAAATGTATATTGGATTTTGTCAGTTTTGTTTTAAGGACATTGCTATATTGCAACATCAAGAAATCAGTTTACCAGCTTCCTTGGATTTAATAACCTGGGTCACAAAACCAACCAATTATCCGTACAAAATAATGTATCCTCTCTATTTCTTTTCAAAATATATATAAAGTACCTGTTCAATACTTTTTTCTCCACAGACCAAAGACTGCATTAACAACCTCTACTAACTGCCAACAAAACACTTGTTGGCTGTGAACAGCACAAATCCTTTCTGTTCTGATTAACTGAGGGAAAGATTGGGGTCATTAAAACTAGGCTGTTCTTCACAAGCAGTGAATGAAGAGAGAAAGGATATGAAAGTGACAGGGTCAGGAAAAGTGTCTGGCAGGTAAGGATGTTATTTGTAGTTGTTTTCCTCCATATAAGCCCCAGCATTACCCCAAGAACTGTCTGTACTTTTAAAGACAAAACAGAAATTTCTAGTTATCTGGGAAGGCATACAGGATGGTCTAAGACAAAAAAACAGTGCTAGCAGAAACCGTCACAGGGAGATTGAGCTGCAACTGAAAACCAGAGAGATAGGAGCAAGGAGGCATGATAAACAGGTGCAGAAAAAGCAAAAAAAGAAAAACTAATTTGAACACAATTGCAGAGACACCCACCCTGTGAAGGTGCACGAGTTCTGTCTTCATGAAAACCTCATTAGCATTTACTGTAACTGCATAACAGCTTTCGCCCTGGAGGTAAGTCTGCAGGACCAAAATTAATCTGCCAAACCATGAAGTTTTATAGGTTATCAGAGTTTGCCTGTAAGAGAGTGTTAGTTTTCTCCCATAGACAAGAAGGAGGTACTTCTACCAAACACTGGACTGAGAGCAGAGCAAGAGATCATGCAGGGAACAGTGAAGAAGATACCTGGTGCCTGTTTTATTTGGAAAATAAAGAGTAAAATGTGAACCTTAAGCCTAACTCAGAGCAGCAGCTAAAAAAAGTAGTCACTCTAAAAGTCAGCATGACAACGCCCAAGTAGCTTTGTGAACTGAACTTCAAATCTCCATGCCTCAGTTGCCCACTTCAGTAAAGGAGATCATAGGATTGCCCTGCTCCACCGGGCAGTTCATTAAGATTCTCATTCATTCCAAATTAAAAGGCTGAAATTAGGTAGAACAGGTTTCTTCACCATGGGCACACAAAAATATGATAAAAGAGCTGATAAAAAATGTTGAGGATCCCAAAGCCAGGACAGTTGTAATTCAGAATTAATTCAGAATTCAGAAAAAGTTTTTCCCCATGAGCACAGATGGGCAGTGGGGTTTGGACCAGGGAAGTGGTGCCATCTCCTTCCTTGGAGGGGTTCCAGACCTCATGGGATAACACCCTGAGCCTTGGTATGACTCCATGGCTGAGCCTGGTCTGGGCAAGGAATTTGAGTGGAGACCACTCAAGGTCCCTGCTGGCCTGAAGTATCTTATGATGATCCAATGTTCTCAGTTCAAAGAGAACATCAGAATGCTGAAGAGGATTCCTGGAAGACCTAATTAAGGATGAATCAGTAACTGGAAAAGGTGCAGTGCAGAGGAAGATTTTAAGGATCTCCATCTTTTTACCTCATTAGAAGCAGGTTAGTCGATGCATTGATCAGTGTCCTTAAGTACCACTTAGGAAGCACAAACTTGATAACAGAGGGCCCTTCAGTCTGCCAGGAGATGGTATAACAGGATCCAATGGCTGAGACAAAGAAAGTCTCAGAAAGAAAAAAACATGGACATTTTTTAAAATGAACATAATTAAGCAGTTAATTTATGGAAATCCTCTAGTCTCAACAGAATGTAAGTAGGCTCAATTATAGTTGGCATTTGGGCCTTTTATTCTGGGAACCTTAAGCACTGAATAACATTTATATTTTGAAAAAGATCAACACAGGGTAGAGTCTTTTCTGACAAAAAAAAAAAGAAAGATGTATATCAGCCATGGACTGAGAAGATGCAAAAATAAAGTGTAGGAAGAGAGCCTATGGAGCAAAAGAAACCTAAATCCAAAGGAAATAAAAGTATGGAGTTGCACAGATGAGAGCTATACGCTGACATTACGTGGAAGATCGAAAAAAGAGAGACTCGCCCTAATTCAATTCATTCTGGCTTTCTTGTGGCAGCTCTGCAGGGTTAACAAACACACAGATCGCCAGCAAATCAGGCCTTGGGTCTATAATTTTGCAGCACATAATGAGAAGGAAATTTGTGTGGAGCAGAAACCGTGTTTCTGTGTTCAGAAGGTGTTATGCCACTTGCGCTGCCACTATCAGTACCATTAGGGGAGCCAAGGCGTAACAGCAGCACACTCGACTCCAGATGCACACACACAGCAGCCCTTTGTTGTCTCCCAAACTTCAACCAACGCTGTGCAGGGCAGAACTGGGCTTTACAGATCCATGACAACCGGGTAGAAAAGTGAATCGGAAGGTGAGATAAATGACAGAGAGAGGTAACAGCCTGTTATGTGGTTAACATTTGTCTCTAAGTAGTACAAACCCAACAGAAGACAGCAAAAATTAGCTGAACATGCACAAGCAATACCTGTAGGTATAAAGCATAGCTGTTTGGGAGAAACGGCATAATTAACGAGGAATTTCAAACCTGCATGAAGGTCTGGTCCTGAGATAGAAGCAGAAGCTATAGTCAGCACCTGTCCTAATACCATAGTGGCATTAAGAATATATTACAAATAGTGAGTTTTTGGCGCAATCAGGAACGTACTTCCTGATCAAATCAGATTCACCCTTTTAAAAGACACAGAAAATAACTAGCAAACATTTCTCTTTGTATTATCACCTATGCTGGACCTTGCTTTAGTTAGTTACATTCGGGGGTGTTAGTATGGTAAGTGAGTGGAGAAAAGAGGTCTAACAAGGGAAACTGTAGAGCAGACCAAAAAAAAAAAAAAAAATTCCTAGTAGGTGTGGTTTCTAGTGTGAAAAAGTTTGAGGATGCCTTCCGGGCATCAAAAATGCCTTTCACAACACCTAAGCAGTCAAGTGGCAAGATTCATTATATCTAAAAAGCCTAGTACATTGTAATTCCCGCCCTTTCATTAATGTTTCCTAAGGGAATTTCCTGCAGGGATACCTGGTGGGACAGAGGCTGAGCTGCCGCGGGTGCCAGGCGGTACCGTGTCAGTCACGTCCCACCCCGTGCAGAAGGTCTGCCAGGGTAGGGCTCCTCACAAAGCACCGTGCAGCAAGGAGCCTGCTGTATGAGCAACCATCTCCTCTATAAGCATATTCCCCCAGCTGTCCCCATTATCTTTGGTGGAAAACGATCAGCTAGGTTCTTCAGACCCAGACTCCTGAAAGGAATCCAGTTAAAGAGAAAAGCAGAGTATCAGTACAACAAATTCCATGATTTCTTCAGTTTGAGCTACATATGCAAGTTACAGTAGCCCCATAAATTTCAACTCTGGCAGTATCCCTTCAAGGCTACTCTGTCATCCTGCTCTTGGACCATGTGCTGGGAAGGTCAGAAAAGCCGGATTTTAGGTTTTCTGTTTAGTTTCTTGTTTTCCCATCTCTGTAGCAATGACCCCACGTAAGGTTAGTAAAATCACACGATGCATTAAGCTACTAGAAAATATTCCAAATGCTGCACACTTAAAGAACTGACCAATCTGTTTCGTAAGTGGGTATAGATCTGACAGCAAACAATTTTTGCAAGAACATTCTCTGTATTTATCCTACTCTTGAATGATAAGTGCTTAGCAGAAGCCTACTAAGATCAGGGACTATACTCATGATTCAATACCAACAATCCTTTTTCTGCAAAAGTACAAGAAACCCTTTCCTATCAGCAGTGATTCCTTCCTGCAAAGTGCACTGAATCACTGCGAGATGCTTTCTTGATAACTGATTCTGCAGGGATATTTTTTGTAAGTCAATGAGCAGCCCAAGTTTTGTTTAATTGCTGCATTTTTATTTATATCATTCAATGCATTTAAAAGCCTGCTGTGGCTGGAATGGAAAGGAGGCTGTTACACTATCAAATATTTCTCCTGTAGGCTGACAAAAAGAAGCTGTCTCTTAACCTGATGGCAATGAAAGACAGCAAATGAATCATTGCTTGAGGAAATCAATTTATTTAGTCACTCTGTGTCGCTGTTATTTATTACTTGTCAGCACATGCTGTTAGTTCAATTAAATATAAAAAACCTGAAGTTCTCTTCCAGCCCTCCCCCCACCCCAATTTTTAAAAACACACAACAAACAAGAAAAATTACATGAATCTGCAGGGCTAAAGCAGAACCCTTTGGGTTTGTTGTGCTTCTCTTGTTTTAATTAAGCTTTGTTTATTAAACTTCTGCAGCTAAGGTATGGGGATTATTAATCTTCTTCGGTAGCTAAAGATAAAAGCAGAGAGAGATGACACTATAGAAGTACAGTTTAGAGTTCCCCACTGAGAAACACAAAAAATGAAATGAAGTAGTGAGACAAAGTGTTGATTACAACATTTTATCTCTAAAAATACAGGGAACTGCAAACAGCAAGCATTTTATCCCTTTTTCAAACAAAGGAGTAAGGACTGAAAACTCTTAATTTTTATAGATGGGCGTGTCTGTCATTGCAAAAGTTAGTAATAAAGGTACATGCTGACTCATAGTATAACCACAGATGTACAAAAAAACTCACATACATTTCAGTACTGCCTTTTCTCCTGCATCCATGTCCTTTGTTTAAGGCAGGATAAGGGTAGATAACAGAATTTTTGTTCCCTGTGAGATGATTCACTGTTCTTTGCTTAACAGTATAATTAACATGGAAAGCCTTCCTTATAATTATAAACATGAAACATAAATAATATAAATATAAAATTTACTGGTCCATAGAAAATTTGGCATTTGGAGATTTGCTTAATACATATCTTTGCTAAAGTAACAATAAAAGTTTCTATACTCAAGGCCCTTTTCCAACATCAAAGGGATAGTCTGAATTGCCATTATAACCAGGCTTACATGTTGACTGTGTCAAACACCACTCGCTGATTCCTGACCCCAATTCCAGTTTTCAATGATAAGCATGTATTATACCCCAATAGCTTCAGGAGCTGCCATTCTTCACTGACCACAGCCCTGACTTCAGTAAAGTTCATTCCCTTGGGCCTGTTGATGTTTAGTAAACAATACTGGCAAGGTCACCTTTTTCTGCAGCAAGCGGAGGTATATTTCAGGGCCTAGTGGCTCCCTTTTCTCCCCCTTCTGCTGTTTATGGCTTGGATTCCTAATACAAATTTCAGTGTTAATTTGGGGCTCTGCCAGTGAATAAAGTATTTTCAAAAATTGGTCCACTAAAAAACATTTCAGTCATTCACCTCTTTGACACGCCCTACTTTTCACGAGACACTCAAAATCTTAGTAAACTTCATTTATCATTTCTCAGAGAGCCAATGCTTTTATTAAAACACCCCAATGCAGAAAAACTGCAAGGAGCAGGATCCACCACACTGGAATGACCCTAGCACACAAACAGTCTGCCTGCACACCCTCATTATTCTCAGTCTACAGGACTAAGATCTGCCAACTGGAGGTTTAGTAAAACCATGATCTACCAATTCCTGTATTAGTTTATTTTAGCAAATAAGTAATTTACTTATGATAAATATCATCATGCCAAGGCATGTATAGAGGCATACTCTTAAAACAATAAAAGCACAGAAACTGTCTCAATGGGCTCTTCTGCAAAGTAGATACAACTATTGTACTTTTGTAAAGAATATGCAGATTAGTTAGTGAAACAACTGATGAAGCCCTAGTATTATGTGACCTGACACCAATATTTAGCAAGAAAAGACATACTAGAATGGCCTATATTTTACCTGAATCCTGATACTTAACTACATCTATTAGCAGGTTCTACCTCCTCAGTGGTGCCCACACAATGTGAAAGAATAGTCTCAGGAATTTAAAGGGAATTTAGATCATCTAAATAGGGCCCTACTATGGTAGATGGTGCCTATTTTAACTTTCTGGGAACAATATTAATAGCTCTATGGCATTTTACTACAAAGATCAATTTGGATCCTAGTTCTTTAAAATACCCTTTTTTACACAGTTAAACAAGAAGGCAATCCATTCTAGAGTTGCTTAGATCCACTGAGTATTTAAAAGGGTTAGTAGAAATTGAAGGTAGAAAAGACATTACCTGCCTTTACAATGGCAGGAGATCCCTTCAGTTAATTTTCCTGTACTGCATCCACTACAGTTCCCATATATCTATACATCACGGTCCTGATGGAGCCTGGAAAGCAAGTTGGAGAAGGTATCAATCAATTAATTTTGCTTGGGGTATACTGCAGATGGCATCCTAAAAAGATAGTTTAAGGAGGGCCTGTATTAGTAATAAAGCAATCCTAGAACCTGCGGTGACACAGTAACTGGTGCAGCCAGAGAAATATGACACTAAAGCAGAAGCACTGGGACATGCAGTGTATAAAAATTCCCCTTCATGGAGGAAAAAAATGCTACTTTTGCTAAATCTTGATGAAAAGCAACCTACCTGTCCCCAATTCCAGCAAACTGGGTTATCCATCCTAAGTCTGAGCAGCACATTAGGACTTAAGTAACCAGGGTGCTGGTCTCAGCCTTCCCACTCGTGACAATGACAATGAGAGCATTGCTTCACCCTTAAACTTCAACATTTTGTCTAGGTACATATATAACAAAATTTCTTTGTTCCTACTTTATGTTTGTCTAAATTGCAAGTCACTCCCCTTTACTATTCTGCTCCCATCCCTTTTTTTTTTTTATGTAGGGAAAATTAGTGCTTGGAACTTGTTTATGCAGTTTGGATTCTGCTCTTGGTATATAGCTCTGAAACAGACATTATTAAAGCAACACAGCCCCCTAGTGTGGATGCAATTCAAAAGTTTAATTTCCATACAGTTATGAGGTACTATAACCAGACTACACACAGTAGCAATCACAGTGACCTTGCTTAAAAAGAAATAAATACTAATAATCAGAAGTATGTAGACTAGCAATTTTAATAGCTAAAAGAGTTTATATTTGGAGCAGTTCGGCTACTAATTTTAAGTGAAGATTTGCATCACTTCAACAAGATGGAATTAAATCATGGACCTTAATTCTGACGTCTCATACCTCAAGGACTGGAAGAACCTGGGCTGTTTCTCATGTGAGATAATCCAGCCACATTTTCAGCAGCTAGATTTTTCACTGCTCACTGTGCCAACACAATAGATTCAATCAGGATGCTGATCCAGGTTGGAAGGAGCAAACGGAGAGGATTGCCTGCTCAAATGAGCTTCCTGATGTGGTTCTCTACACACCCACGTACACACCACCTGCACAACAGCGGGACAGGAGGGAGGAGACAAGGAGGCAGCCTGGGAACAAGGAACCTAATGAAAATGCATTCATGGGTCCTCACCAGTATTCATATTCAGCTTAAACATCTTTTTCCCACTACTCCATTTCTGCTTGTCTTTACAGGCAAGTTTCAACACGTTTAGACTAAACAGGCTTTTCTAGCCACGTCTCACGCCCTCTGTTCCTCTGGTGACCTCAGAAGCCTTCGACTGCATTTGTTCCATGCAGACATGGAGAACTGCACACAGTACTCCAGGGAAGGAAAGCTGAGGTTTTGTAAGTACTAGGGTCAGAAAATGGAGATGGGATGAAAGATCGTAGATTTGACAATGCACAGTGGAAGCTGCTCTTCTAGAACAACTTTGCAGAACCATTAGACACAAGAGGTGAAAATTCAGTTTTGAGTCTGACAACAACCAAAGCAGATCCCATGAAAAAAGATGACATTTTCCCATGTGCTTAAGGAAGTGAAGATGCAGTGAACATGGGGCAATTTTTTTTTCAGTTGTGCTCTACAATTTAATAACAACGCAATATTTACATTTATGCTTTTGGGGTCTATCCCTGCCTGTATACAGAGTCAGTTTGATTAACTGGATAAACCTTCTTACAAGCTTCATATTTTTCTTTACCTTTTATGTATTCTGTTTACGTATTTTAGTATACTAATGCCAAGAAAGGCCCAGGGAAACATGAGACTTGACCAAAAAAAGATCCAGTATTTTAATATTGAAATTTGGCCATAAATAAGGCAAAACCAATTTTTTTCTCTCCATGTATTGCAGATTGACTTAGCAATAAACATGGTTTATATTACTAGGACTAACTTGCAGGATTCCATAATCAGTTCTCAATTTGGTGTCTATGCTCCAAAAGTTACGCTGTTCTTCTTTATGTTTCTGCATCAATTAACCACCTCGTCCTCCTTCCTGGCTAAAGGAGCTATTTCGCAACTAATCTTCAATTATCTTCTGTGAAAAGGACACACTTACCAATGTCAGCGATCTCATAAGGCTAAATCAGTGCTGATAATTTTAAGATGGGCATGTAAAATGCCATGTAACAACTTAAAACGCATTCTTGTGCACAAAACCTTTTTCCAGTTGCTGATTTTCAGAAAACCCTTGCCAGGCTTTACCCACAGATTAAAACAAAAGTAACTTGAGTTACGACAGGAGCTTTGGTAGACGAATATTTAAAAAATAATGGGAAATAATCAAGCAACCACTTATGATCTTTATAGCTCTGACCGTTCTAAGGAATCAGAGGGTGAAGAGAGGCTGTGTCCCACGACAGGGTCCCCACGGTGGCTGCTGCTTGTGAACCTGGGCTCCCTCCAATCTGGAGGGGTCTGGAGGAGGGCCTGGGTGGGACCATTACTGCCCCTGCCTCACCGGGCACTTCAGCTCTGCCCACCTGGAACAGCAAGCGTCTCAAACCATCCACACGGAGGATCTGGTTCCCTGCCTGCCACCTCTCTACCTCCACAGAAGCAACCCGAAGCCAGCAATCAAAACCTTCCCTCACCGCCATTAATAATTACAACCATTTTAACACAGCAAAGAACATGTTTTATGACATAGCTTAAGTTAGGCGAGATAATAGTTTGCCTATTATCTTAGGCAAAATATTTTTGGGAGCAAATAGTGTAATGAAGAGTGTTACAAAGAGAACTAATTCTTTTCTGAGGAAACGCCTGTGATTTGTTTCTCCAAAGTGGCACCTTGAAGTCTAATTATTATTCTCTTTGAAATCACCGTAAAAATAACGGCGAAGTCTCTGAACAGAAATAATAGATGCTTTTGGCTCTCTGGGGAGTTACGCCTTTTTATTTACTCAGTACAAACACAATCAACACTTCTCCTCAAAAAAGCACTGTGCTTCATCTATAAGGACAGCCAAAATTCATTAGGAAATATTTCTGTTGCAGTCCACAATATAATCAGGATCTTTTTCCTCATGCTGACCAACGCCCAGTGTATATTTTTTCCCAACAAAGCACTTGATCAAAATACCAGTAAAATTATTTTAAGGTTTCATTAATAATTCATTACTGCATTTTGCATACAAATTGCCTCTTCCTCCAAGTGCAATATTAAATTTATTTTTCAAGGAAAAAATCAAAGAGATATTTAAAAGTGAACAACAAAACAGATGTATAATAAATATTTTAAATACACTGTTTTTTTTTAATTGTGCAGTGATACAAATCAATGCAAGAACCCATGTAATTTAGCTGTTCTGCTTTTAACCTAAGCAGCAATAGTACGCTACCCTAAAAATGAATTAGCACTTGTGTAATCAATCACATGAAGTTTTTCTTATGATATACTTATTGTTATTTTTTTTGTAAACAGCTTAATTTAATTTTCTTGGGATCCTTCTCCTCTTTCTCCTCTCTTAACTTGAAGTTTAATTAGGCTGTAATTACGAATCTTTTCTGTCATATGCACATTAAGCTGTTTCACCTTTGTCCCACGACACATTAAAGTTAGTATATGCAATTTCTTGATACAGACCTTGAAAGAATAACCTCTGACAGTTCAACACACTACAAAATGAACTTTTAAAGGTGACCTGGAAAACCAGTAGGAAGATAAGCTCAGCTCAGCAATACATCTCCAGCAAGTAAAAGAGAACTACATTCTAGTTTATCATTACTTCCAGCAGTATTTCCTTGCTTCTAGACAACTGCAGATGTATGGTTCTGCAGCATTACTGAAAGGACTTCCTACATTTGCCTGTATCAGTTCAGGTGGGGCAGGATACATGCCTCTAATTAAACCTGATTTACATTCAGCTTTCCTAGGACACCCTAAATTACGCCTTACCAAGGCACAGCTTCTGCAGGGAGTAACCTCTTCCTGTTCAGTGGCTGGCAGAAATACACGGGAGCCACAGAGGAGCACGCAGTCAGCAAGGAACCACCTCTGCAGGAGACACAGCCAATGTGCTGGAATACCAGGAAAAGAGAAGGAAAGTCACAGGTCTATCAATCAACTACTACTGCACTGTATATTTATCCTCAATATTAAGGACTGATTTCTGTTTATTCGTTTTGCTTGGGATTTTGCAGGCCTCATTAATGTTATGATAGATTGCAGAACTGGTAAATGAACCTTGACATGAAGGAAGAGAGGCAAACAATAAAGAACAAGTTTTCCTACTGGTTGATATACACGGGGTTGCACAGTAGGACTAGGATTAGGAAGCTGATCTCCTTGCAGGTGAGCTCTTTTGTTCCCACAGCAGGCAAGGCGAGGCATTCAGTGCCTTAAGGATCTAAATATAACAGCAGTAAAACTTTTTTTTGTTTGAGTTTAACATAGTTCCATCAGCCCATGACTTTACAAAGAACAAGGCAGCACACCCAGGTTTTGCCAACTATCTTCCTCTCGTTACCTGCATTTGTTTCTCTGTACTCAAATAAATGACAAGTTCACCAAACAGCCAGATGAAATTAACTGAAGACAACGCACACATATTCCGAGACAGTTACTTTTTGAATTGAATATATATATTCTAACTTATATCCTCCATTTGCTAAAAAATAATAGAAAAATTTTGTTGCCGAGTATAACTGATTACAGTCAGATGAAATTTACTGAGGTCACTGCCATCATTTAGTCCATGCACACTGTCATTTTCCCAGCTGTATTTAATGAAGGTTTTAGTTTATAATCAAATTTACACTGCAATATTTTCCTACCATTTTACTCAGGCTACTGTTGATTCTAGAGGAAATCAATCATAATTTAAGAAATATACATGAAATATATTTAAGAAATATGTAAGAAACTTGCTACTAAAGTCAATGCACTTGACTACCAACAAAGAAAGGGAAAAGGGTAGAAAAGGGGTTAAAATAAAAGCAGAAAAAGTGAAAAAATGAAAGGGGCAAAAGAGAATAAAAGGAAAAAAGGAAAGCAAAAAAAGGAAGGACAAAAAAAAATTATAAAACTTGCAAGAGAATTTAAGACATAATACTTGACTAGAACAAGGTCTGCAGTGATATTACAAAATAAGAGTGTGGAAATTATCTATGCTACTGTTGCAAAGTACCTAATTTGGTTTCTAACAACTAATGGAAAATCAGTAGTAGCAATATATAATACACCATTTTATTTAACAAGGACCACATTTGTAAACATCACACCTTAAAAAAAAATTACTTCTATGTGTTTATGTAAACAAAGACACATAGAAATATTTTAATATGCATTTGATTATCAGCCAAGTATAAAACCACCACTAATTCTAAACAAAATCAGAACTATTTTAATTGTTGTAAGAAATCCTAGCAGGAAAATTAATCCTATAATGCAATTAACTTACAAAAAAATACCCTTGAAATGGATAAAAGTAGAATTATGAGTTTAAAACCTTATATAATAGATATAAATAAATTAAATGCCTTTTCTGAAAAGCATTTATACTGAAATTAGTTGGATTCTCCTATTTACAGGGGACATGAAATTACTACGTCAGTTAAATGTTAAAAACTCAAGGTCTTTTAAACACTCTGATTTGCTGCATTGCCCTAAGTATCATGCCAAACAGTCAACAAAAAACTTCATAGTCAAGAAAAAATCCTATTTTCTTTATTTCATTTATGACATCGAAGACAAACAGCAGTGGAGAGTGACAAAATGAAATGACCAACAGTATAAAGACTCTGGTATTTGTCACTTTCAGGCACTTCCATAACTCTGAAAATAACATAGTTCAACTGTTTATCTGAAAGGGAAAAATTCCTCTCCTTAGGAATTCAACTTTCTAAAAATTAAGTATGCTTTTAAGTGAATCATCATTCATTTTAACTAGAATAGCTACACTGTGATGAGCTGGGCCCCAAGGAGAAATAAGCAATCTCAAATCCCATCACAGAATGTTGAAGGCAGTCACACGACAAAAGACCAGACCTCTTCAAAATAGTATTTTTAATGAAGCACATATAAACCAAGTTTCTCCAGTAGTTTAACAAGTTGCTAATAAATAAAACAGCTGGTAATTTCTAACCATAAGCATTACAAAGAACTTGATTCTCCTAACCTTTCTGAAAGGCACCAGGTTCCTGTCATCGCTGTGTACACTGTGTGACTCCTTGAAGAGACAACCCAGCACAAAGAGACCTGATCTCAGTGAAGCATCAAGCTGTGCATGTCACGGAGGCAGCACTTTAAAGGCAATAAACCAATATCAATGGCTTAAGCCACAGGTCAGGATTCACAATAGGGTTTGAACGAGGAACGTCATACTCAACCCAAATATACTTTAGCACTGAAGAGAACAGACATCACATCCTCCAGAAAAAATACTGAATATTAAATCCAAACAATCTCAGGGCAGTTTTTTCACATCACCAGCTTTCATGAGAGCCTTAATAGCTCTGGCCCTCATCTCAAGTTCCAGAAGCTCCAGCTGCTGTGCTGATGGCTGAACATCTTCTGATGGAGGAATGGCTAAGGTTGCTGCTTTGGGCTCCTTTGGGCTGGACTCTGCCAACCCCAGTATCTCGTTCACGCTTTTCTCAATGTCCTTCTGAAGGTCATCTATCTGACTGGCTCCACTTCTGGCAGTGTTTTCTGGCACATCTGGGCCGTCTTCTTCATTGCATGGGCCTTCTATGTCACTATCATATGCATCTGCATTTATGCTGAGGACATCACTATCTTCTCCCTTGCCTGTAACACAAATGTAACAATCATACAGTTGCCTAACAGAACCATTTTCCTTCCAACTTCACAAAATCACTTCTGCTTAGAGTGTTTCTCTGCTGATTAGGAGAGTGGCAAAAATTTAAGACAATTGATTCCTCTTCTTTTTCTCCTCCAACTTTTAAGGCTGATCTAATTTAGACAAGTGTTAATGCATTTTTATCCCAATTTAGAAGAATATGCAGTATTGCAAAGCAGCAGTGCCAGGAAAATTTATTCCATCCTGTGCAGTTACATGATCTATTTTCCTAATTAAAATATCATAAGGTTTATATCATAAGAAAATCTCTGCAGTGCAAAATTTATTATTGTTTATTATCTTTAAAGTAAACTTAATTTGCAAAAAGCAAATTAAAGAATGATACTTTAAAACCATTTTATGTATTTTAAAAGGAGTAGGACACTATAGTCAGGCATAGTACTAAAAATTGATAGAAACTCCACTTAACGTGCAACTATTCAAAATCTATCACAAGTACTTCACATGTATTTAACTCAGTAAAAACATTAGGAAACTCATGGCAATGGCTTTTAATGCTGGTTTAAAGTTGGAGGTTATTAAAAAAAAAATTAGAAGAGCCAGTGCAATAAAATTAAAACAAAACTCTTAACAGAACCTGAGTAACTGTTCTCACAATCTGGCTACAGAGAGATGATTGATTTTGATATATTGGCCTCAGAAATTATGAATCCTTCACCAACGTGTCTATCTATGGAATCTTACAGTAGGATTGGTTCCTGGTTAAAACGAACAACTTATAGTCAGATGATGGTAAAGTTACTGATTCTAAAGGCTTGATAATTGCTTTTGGTCATGCCACTATCCAAAGGTATGGTTGTGTTCCCCTATTAATTAATAATGAGGGTTTAGAGCTAAAGATCTGTGGGTTTGAAATACATATAATTTTTTACCATGAAGATTCAAAGAAAGTTTGTATTCTATGTAAGCTACTTTAGTCTATAATGATCCTCTCTATATAAAAAGTACTCTTTATTTTACATACATTCAGACAGTATTCCAAATCTTATTTTTAAAATTTTTCTTTTAATTCTCCTTTATAAATATGGGACAGCATGAAGACAAGGGAGCCAAACTTCTCAGTACTGCACACTGACTGGACTAGTGGCAATGGGCAAAAATTAAAACACATTAAATTCCACCTAAACTTTTTGACTGTGAGGGTGGTTGAACACTGGAGCAGGCTCCCCAGAGAGGTTGTGGAATCTCCACCCTTGCACATAGTCAAAACTTGACAGCACGTGGTCCTGAGCAACCTGCTGTAGCTGACCTGCTTAAGCAGGGGGACTGGGTTCAATGATTTCAAAACAGCCCTTCTAACCTAAACAATTCTGTGACTCTCTGATTCTTAAAATTAGTATGTGGACATCTGGTCTTAAAAGGTTCTCTTTCACCAAACTCTTAATTTGCTTGTTAATTGCTAGTTTCATGCACCCACATCTTTGGTTCCCAAACCTCAAATCTGAGGGCTAGGAGTACTGATTTGCAAGGAGTTAATTGGATTGTGTTTTGGATTGGTTTCTGGAACACTGTTGATGACACACCACTGTTTTGGCCAGTGCTGAGCAGTGCTTGCAGGGCCTGAGGGCTTCCCCTGTTTCTCACTCTGACACCACAGCCAGTAGGCTGAGGTTGGGCAAGAGGTTGGGAGGGATACACAGCCAGGACAGCTGAGCACAACTGACCAAAAGGATATTCCTACATAAGACATTGTCCTCAGCAATAAAAGCTCAAGGAAAGAAGGATGTCCATGGTTATGGCACTGTATTCCCAAGTAACTGTTATGTGTGCTGAGGCTCTGCTTTCCAAGAAGTGGTTAAAAATCTGGCCACCAATGAGAAGCAGTGAATAAATCCCTTATTTTGCTCTGTTTCAGTGCACGACTTTTGCTTCACTTATTAAAATGACTTTATCTTGACCCATAAGCTTTTCTTGCTTTTGCTCTTCTGATTGTCTCCCCACACCCCACTGAGGAAAGACGAATTGTGCAGCTGCTGAGTGCCTACTGCTGGCTGGGTCAACCCACCAGAGGATTCCTTTCAGTGCCAGATACATATTAAGCAGGAACATATTAACAGTCATTCATGTCTGTCCCAGAATTAGTATAGACCAGGAAGCTGGGAAAAGCCACCTTGGGTTCCATTCAGAATGTGGAGCCTCCAAAACTATAACACAGTGTTCATACAAGCTCATTGGCCTACAGATGTTTAATTAGCTGATGGGCTTTATTTCCCTCTTTTGCAGTTGTAGTTTTACCTAGTAATAAGGATCATGGTTGGCATTTCTCATTATCTTTTTCATTTCGGTAACTTTTTTCCTTCATTTACACTTGTGAAATTCATTTTAGCACACTTAATTCTGTTTCATAACTTTATTTTATCCACTTTTGCTTATCCTCTCATTCTCTTTTTTTCCTTTAGCATCACAGGCTGTAACTCAGCAAAATGATTAGAATTATATTCTAAAATTTATATTGGTATTCTCAAAAGCTCTTTAAAGCTAACATCTTGAGTGGAGCCACTGTTATAGCCCAAAGCCATCATGATACTCTGGTTGATTAAGTCATAAAAAACAACAATGAAGCAATCACCTGCAAGAGCCATCAATTCCCTTTGATAATGCAAAAGTGGAAGAGATCTGCCAGAAATCTGTCAGTTCTAAAGTCATTCCATATAGTACAACAAGTAACATTTAAAGCATTCCTCACAAAGCCATAGCAACCTGCTCCTGAAAGTTTTGATGCTTTTATTATCACTCTTTACTTCTCTGTGTAACTCCCCTCACGAATTACTTCAGAAAAAAACATACTTCATCTTTCAGACAACATTCTGAATTCTGAAATAGGAGTTTCAGGAAGCAAATAATGTTATATCTTCACAGAAAAGAAATATAGCTTATAAGAATTGGCAACACAATTTGATTGGAAAAGCTATTTCTGATGGTATGGCATACAGCTAGTCCAAATAAAAACGAATAGACTGAGACAGAAATAACTACAATTCTAGTGCTTCATGTAGAAAATAATGCTGGCAGTTGTTATATGGTGCTGATTTAATGATTGGACTAAAACAAATATTGCTGCAGGTTAAGAAAACTTTTTCCTTACGGAGCAGGTACTCAAATGTGTACCACTAACTTATCTGCTTTTGCATTTTCTATTCCGCCAATTACTGTATTCCCTGAATGTCTCACTCACTACATTTTTGCATATAAAAAGAGAAAATATGTAAGACAAGATGTTCATGCTTGAGATTCAAAGATTTGAGTGTGTACTTCCACTGGCACTCACTTCAAGTAAAATAAGCCAGTTATCACAAGTGGTGGGTGTTAAACACCATTCCGTTGGATCTCAGCTCTGCACAGTCAAACAAATCAAGACTGAACCAAATGACTAAATTACAAGCAATCCTTTGGCAAACAATTATTATAATGTATTTCTATGAATGTCAAAACAGAGTACTGTAGACTCTTATGATGATCTCAACAGAAAGTAAAACTCTCAAAGAATTCAGCGAATGATAATAGCAACATTAGCAATCACCTATACACCAAGAAATTGAAATGACTGAAGTTCCTCTTCAGCTGAAATGCTAGATACGAAGAGCCAAATGAGCCTTTGCAAGAGCTTCAGTCATGTTCCAGAAGCTAAACCAGCAAACTTTGAAGAGCTGCAATTTGCTTCTAGCCATAAAAAAATCTCCAGTCTCATGTCTTCTTCAACGTTCTCTTCTCCTTTTCTGGAATTAGGTACAAGGGTTGTAGCCCTACACCAGCTGATTTCTAAGATGATGATTCTCTGTGATTGCAGCCACTGTTCAAAAGACAGCTATCAGTTTCCTGGAATTAGCCACTACCCAACATCAAGAATACAAAATTTCAGCTTTCCCCACTATATACCTTGTTTTGATTCCTGACCTTCCAGCTTGTCCTCTCTCAGAGAAGAAGTAGAGTCTATACTGTTGTCCTGCCTGGAAAAAAAAAAAAAAAAAGGTATTTTAATCTACGTCTTTTATAATTTAAAGAGAACTTTTCTAAGAAATGTTTACTTTAACTAAAGAAATTATGTGATGGTAGGCCAATAGGCCAGCTACAGTATGATTAAAGGAAAAAGAAAGGCACGGAGTGCTAATCTAAGCATTTTATAATGAGCTTTTTTTTAGCAATACACAAGGATAAAGCAAATAGTTCTATTATACCCTAGCCCTTCAGAATAACAATCCACACTGGTAGCCTCTCCCTAGTATTAGGAGCTTTTCTTTAAAACTCACAATTGTCACACAGTTAAATGATTTAAAAAAAAAAAAAGTTTCAGTTGCATTCAAATACTATTTACTGTTTTCTTTTGAAATTGACAAGCTATTTTCATAAGCTTAACGTCACCCCACTGACATCCACACCTCCTACATCACAATCTCATAGTTTCATAACATTTTTAAAACGAAACACAATTCAACCATTAAATTGTATTCCGTATCTGCATTTCTTAATTTCTTCTATTTAAGGATTTGTACCCTTCGCCTGTAAAGTTTCAACTGCTTTATACAAGGGGTAAAGGAAGAAATACTTCTGTGAAATGTTCATGTCCTTCAGACATTTTGCATGTACTGGTTATAAAAACGATTAAAATATTGTGAAATATACAGGAAGAAGGAAGACAGAAGGACCCAGAATCACAGGAAGAGTTCAATTGCCATGTTTAGTGAGCATTTTGACAGTAGACTTGCCAATTCCCTACCCTGAATGTCAGCATGGCATTGGTTTCATACATACTAATATGGAATCAATGCAACTATCCTGCCTGTGGGAGTTAAACAGGACTATATAAAGGACAGTAGTGTTCTGGTATCACAGATGTAAACACAATGACTTTAACAACTTGCTTTACAGTAATGGCCTGAAAGCTTTTCCTAAAATGGAATACAGATCTAATTTCCCTATGCGTTCAAAGATTTTTTTTAAGGTGTCCAATGGCTATGTCAAGAGGGAGAACATCACACTACTTCTAACCATCTTGGTCTGAGAGACAGAGTTGTTTTGAGTGCTATTTCCTTTTCTGTAGTAACAAAAGTTATGAATCAATAGACCCTTCTGTTTCTCCCATTTTTTGTACCCCTTGCAACATAAATGTGTTATGCAATTAATGTGCATGCAATTAATTGATTAAGGAAAATGTGTAGCTATTTCATATGCACAAAGCACCTGAAAAAAAGACTTTTAAATGTTCTGCACCTTAAGCTAGGAAACCACAAGAGAAATGTATTGTCCAATGCCAAACTAGGTGTAGACTTTTTACTGTGATGCACTTTTCTCAGAACTGAATGGTATGCATCCTTTCAGTTTGCTTTCCTACTTGGTCAACTCAAGTATTCACCCAAGCTTTTAATCTCTGTTGAACTTTCCAATCCCAGCCAGGACTGAATAAGAAGGAATGGATACAAACTAAACGTTCAAATAGCTATACTGAGTGGGAAGTTCTGTATGTGGACTAGATGTATATGGACTAGATGATCTCCAGAGGTCCCTTCCAACCCCATGTGATTCTGTGGTACGTGGCTAACCCCTTCAGAAAATTATTTAAACTTTGCCTCTTCACAAACAGAGTTTGTCCATTTCTTTTCTACTCCAGTCATCACTCTTATACTACAATGGCCAGAGGCATTGCAAGAAGGATTGCAGCCCTCACCTGTTAGATATAAAATAAGGAATTCAACAAATAAAATTAGGTCTGCTGTATGTGATATTTTAAACATGTTAACAAGAGCCTCAATCTCCCTGCTGTCATGGGGGAAGAGGAATGCCAGACAACATGACGTTATCATATTCAATCTGTGTATGGAGCAGAGGACAGGTTGTGTGGAAACTCTTTGGGCTCATACATGGAATCACGGAATTGTCAGAGTTGGAAGGGACCTCTAGAGATCATCTGGTCCAACCCCCCTGCTGAAGCAGGAACGTCTAGAGCACATCACTCAGGACTGCATCCAGGCGGGCCTTGAAGATCTCCAGGGGGACTCCACGACACCCCTGGGCAGCCTGTTCCACGGCTCTGTCACCCTCACCGTAAAGAAGTTCTTCCTCATATTTGAATGGAACTTTCTATGTTCCAGCTTTAGCCCGTTGCCCCTTGTCCTATTGCTGGAAACCACTGAAAAGAGTCCGGCTCCAGCATCCTTCAACTCACCCTTTAGATACTTATAAACATAAATAAGGTCTCCCCTCAGCCTTCTCTTCTCCAGGCTAAAGAGTGCCAGCTCCTTGAGCCTCTCCTCGTAAAGGAAGTGCTCCAATCCCTTAAATCACCTTACACATGCCTGTAGGGTCACAGTTAACTGAGACCCACCCCAATTACCACCCTGTGAGCCTGCACAATTGCACCCAGGGGAAACACCCTCCCAGCACTCCCAGTGACAGGCTCCAGGCCACAGCTTAGGTCCAAAGCATAACTCTGCTTTTAAATACTGCCAGACTCTTGGGTAGCAACATTTCCCCACCCAGCTCCATTCCTGGGATTAGGCCAGCGGCCACCACAGACCACCAGCTAAATCTGTCCATGAAGCTGTCACAGGACACCTTCTCAGAAATGTCAGGTTTTGCTCTCCTGTCACTGGCCAAGGCTTATCACACTCACTTCTCCGTTGTATTGTCCTGTCCATTAGGTTATGCGTTTAATGGTGAGTCACCATGAGCACAAAGGTCCAGTGAAGAGAAGACAAAAAGTGCAAGCAGAGGAACCCTAGTTACTTCATCAGTGCAGCAGGATCACTCTGCCTTGAGTTGCACCTTGGGATGTGAAAGGAGAGCAACCAGCCCATTTTCTGGGATTGAAACCTCGTACGAGCAGTCAGCTAGAGAACTCAACTTACAGAGTAAAGTGTGTTACTGTCCACAGAAGCAAGGGGGTCCAGGGAAAGCAGTGCAGGATTGCATGAAATATACGGGCATATGTTTTGAAGGGGAGTGTAGAAACATGCAGGGCAGCACGTAGAGGAAGAACCAAAAGTGGGAAAAGGGAGAGACTGAGGCAGATTGAGAAAGAACAAACACAGAGGGGGAAAAAGTAGGAACAAAAAAAAAAAAAGATAAAGGGCCAGCAAGGCATAAAAATGTTGCTGGTCAGTACACTTGTCTGGTTAAGCCCTGAACCTGATCATCACAGTCAGTCCTGCCTTCTTATTGAACGTTATTGTTATACTATTTTTCCAAATAACAGAACATTCTTCTCTGTATATATGCACATGTATGTGTCTAAGTGCCAGCAACTGCAAATCACAGGCTATAGGGGCCTGCAGGACTGTGCTGCCAGAAACTAGACAAAATGAAAAACACGCACACTCCCTAGGCAAACTTCAATGTCACGTATCAGTGTGTATCCAGATCCCTATAATTCACCAGCAAACCTCTGGCTAGTCTAGCCAGCAAGCAGGATGAGACATCTGGGAGTCAGGTACCACACAGACGCTTAAGATCAGAGACCAGGGTCTGCAAGAAGGCAGATTGAGGGACTACAGCTCTGCTAGATACCCATGAGATCCAACAGTCTGAGTGTTAGATACTGGGAACAGTCATAGTGTCTGCACCAGCCTGTGTGCACAAGGAGGTCTTTGCAGCAACTCAAGTCAGGCTGCAAACCCTGCAGGCTTGTATGTCCAAGTGCCAGCAACTGGGGAGAGCAGTGGATTTGAGACCAGCTACTGGTCAACTGATCTGGAAGGATCCACTTGGTTTTTTTAAAATTTTCCTTTATCTTTTAATTGAGGAATTCCTAATGATTTATTATATTTAGTCACTCAAATCTTAACCAAAATAACATTGTGATATACTCTGCTCACCAATTAAGGGTAAAAGGTGCTTAGGCTGTCCCTACCCCATCCTCTCTCACACACAAACTCCATCATTTCAAACATTAAGGCACAGTATACAAATTTAATACCCTCTTCTTTCATGCCACGCTAGTAAGTGACCACAGTAATTTGGAGCTCCCTCTTTCCTTCAGTCTTTAAAAATACTTTTCCCTCGAGACAGCACTGTGTCACTTGGGAAAGCCTCATCTTCCACAAACAGTATCCAGGCAAGAAACTTCACATCTCTGGTACCATCCTGAGCTCCGACACCAAATTTCACTCAGGGATTATAATCACCCTTTTGACAGAGAACTCAATGACTTCTGTGGTTCAAACACAGGCTGTGAAATTACCTACACCTATTTTAAGAACTGCATAAAAAGAAATTATCAGTTGAAAAATCACACATCAAAACTTGTTGCAAAGTCTCCTCCTGTTGCCTTGACACTACTACTGATTATAGAAAACCATGTACCTTTCAAGACTACCTACTGAGAGCAAAAGAATATTTAGAACCCAAAAGCACTTTTACAGCACGTTTTACACTTCAGGATTGATTGGATTTGACTGTATTGCTAATGAACCTCCACTACCTCATTTATTCGGCGGGTATTTTGCACCATCTTGTGGTCACGCAGGAGCATTGCAGGTCACAGTTCAGTTACGTTCTCAACTTACAAACCTTGTTTTATTCATTTGTTAGTAAGAAAATTTTTCCTACTTATCTATACTGCCATATAAATTTAAGAAAGGGGAGCACAACATCATGTCTCCAAACAATGAGAGCAGAAGATACATTAATCTAAAATTAAGGCACAGCATACAAATTTCTTTCATGCCATGCCATGCTAGTAAGCGGCCACAGTAATTTGGAGCTCCCTCTTTTCATCAGTCTTTAAAGATACTTTTCCCTCGGGATAACAGTTACATTAAAAGTCACTCTTCCGAGAAATAAATTCCACTTTTTAATTTTTTTTAAATAGGCAACATTTGCACAGTATGTTCTTTTCAGCAGAAAGAAGCTAACTATGGAAGTTTATTGACGAGAAATGCTGTAAGTTTAAATTTGACCTAGTTTTTAAATTTGACCTAAGCTAGTTTTTCATCTTGGTGTACTCCACAGCAGT